AATACGGTGGTAAGATTTTAATCTAGTTAGAAGTCCAGCAGGAAAACAAGCATCGTGTGCCGCTGGCTTTATTTTCGTGTTTCCATGCGAGCATAGCACGATAATTACACGTAATAATCTCCAGCATGTAAATGCTCATAACACTTGTGAGCATTTGTTTAACATTTGATAAACGAGGATGAAATGATTCGTAAGCGTTGTAAGCCTGAATCGGATCGCGGCGTTATACGAATCTAACTTCAAGAGAAATGCATTATGACTGCTTTTGTAGAAAGGAAAATTTTGAGTAATTTTCAATTAAAAATACATATTTTCACCATTTTCTTTTATTTCTGCTTTAATTTTGTCATTTTCTCATTCAGCGATTAATTTTGTATGAAAATATATGACTTTTAGACAATTGTAAAATTTCATTTTGCACCATGGCCGAAATAACCTGTTCAAATGTACATAAAACTTCAAATGCGCATACAAATGATTTGATATCACCAAATTAAACGCACGCTGGTACTAGATTTCATCTCTATTTTCACGGAAAATTTGAGTTTTCCATGTGTGAAAAAAAAATTTATTTTTGTTGCACAATTTAATACAAATTATACATGTACGTATGTGTATACACTCGTTGACAAAATTATCGCATAGGTAAATTTATATCAAAATTTTGCATAATTCAAATAAGCGTAATTCCACGAAAAATGGTTGCACATTTAAAAATTTTTTCTTATTCTCAAGAGTAAAGTCTGTATTTTACGAAGTTTTTAATGGATTTTGCATCTATCCTTATACCTACTTAACGTCTTTTCAAAAATAAGGACGTGTTTTATCTTAAGAAATTTCCATAGTTTGACACACTACGGGGTGGAATAAATTTTTCTTCGCAAATTTCGTGATAAATTTCGTAAAGTATGGACTTTTTTCTTACAAATTAAAAAAAATTAAGCTTTGTACGATTTTTTTTTAGAAAATACAGTGTATCAAACTTACCTATGCATTTTACTCAATTATCGCCAGCATTAGCATTACCTAATGCGCACCACGGGAAGGCTGTGATCAGATGTTGCATATGGGGGGGGGGGACATGTGGGAGTATGTTTGCTCTTTAAAATTGTCAACTTTCGCCTCGTCTTCGGATGACCTCTTGTAAATGTGCATGCATATTGAGCACTAATTGAAGTCTGAAGAATTAGCCTCTTGCCTATATTCGATGCAATGCTGCTTCTAGTTGCTGCTGATTTATTGGCGATTCCTCTTTTCCTCAATTAGAGCTTGCATCAATATGTATGCACGTTTACAAAAAATTATCCGAATACGAGGCGAAAATGCACAATTTTAAAGAGCAAACATACTCCCATATACCTTCCCCCCTCCACACACACGCGCGCGCGCACGCACGATGCACAAAATCCGTTCAGGAACCTCTCCGTGGTGCGCATCGGGTAATGCTAGCGGTAATTGAATAGCAAAGATAAGTTTGATACACTCTGTATCTCCTCGAAAAAAAAATCGTAAAAGCTTCATTTTTTAATAATTTATAAGAGAAAAGTCTATACTTTATGAAAGTTATATCATAGTATTTGCGAAAAAATTTATTCCACCCCGTAGAGTGTGTTAAACTATGCAAATTTCTTAAAATAAAACACGTCCTTATTTTTTAAAAGACGTAGGTAGGGATAAGGATAGATTCAAAATCCATTAAAAGCTTCGTAAAATACATACTTTACCCTTGAAAATAAAAAAAAAACAAATGCGACTATTTCTCGCGGAGTTACGCTTATCTGAATTTATGCGAAATTTTGATATAAATTTATCTATGCGATAATTTTCTTCACAAGTGTATTATACAATAATCAGAAAGAAACTTAAGAGAGGACATGAGGGCCTTTTTCCTGTAATCACAAATTGTCCCCGCGCACTACTGCCCTCTAAAGAAGTGGATGTAAACTACACAACAATATTTTTTTTTTGCGGTGCTCCTGATGGAAATAAATCGTTGAAATAACTAAAATCTATGAAATTAATAGAAATTTTCAACGATTTCAGCGATGTATCTTCATCAGGAGCACCACAAAAAAATTGGATATTGTTGTGTAATTTACATCCATTTCTTTAGAGGGCAGTAGTGCGCGGAGGCATTTCGTGATTACAGGAAAAAGGCTCTCTGTCCTCTCTTAGATTTCTCTCTAGTATAACACAGAAAGAATTTTTAACAATCATTAGACTATTAGACATCGTTTGCACTAATTTTTTATTTTTTGTTTTGCGGAATTTTTTTTCATAATTATCATAATTCTTGGAACACATAAATATTTTATAAATATTTAAAAAATATTTGAACATATATAAATATAAATATTTTAATTTTTGTTGATAATTATAGTTACATCTGCTTATACATTTCACTTATTTTTTAGCGTAAAATTTAAATGTAAATAACCTGACTGTATTTCGAAATGTTTTAATTACCCATACATGCTTTATAATAACATATCTTTGCGTTTTTAAATTAAGTGAAAAATCGATGCCTTTGAGAGCCTAACGTTTGCACTTGATGATGCAATGCTCATTATCAAGAGTTTATATAATGGCACATGCGTAAGGATAGCCAAATGGAAATGTTACGAGAACAATGCTTGATTAATAATAATTTTCAAGAAATAACGTTTTAACGTTTTCACAGATCGTTCTTCTTGTCTTTCTTTCATGAATATATATGTACATACGTGTATATTCATGAAAACATATGTACATGTATATTCATTAATAAAACAGTATATATAGTATAATTCCAAGGTGTTTACATTATTCCGTTTGTTCCACAAACTTCAATTACTTCTATTATCAGACAGCTAACTCCCCAGTTCCTTCCTTCCGTAAAAGTGTTGCCTATGCGAAGTGGATACGCAGAATATCTCTCTCAGGAAAGAGATTCTAACAAATTAGGTGGTCTAGCGTTTCTGCGATTAGTTCAAAAGTATGTAGAAAGTATGCGCAGTATGCAAATGTTATATATATATATGTATATATATTATATGTTATATGCTTATTCTGTGCATGTAGTATATATACGTTTTGTAGACCGATTTTAAATTTCATACAAGCCATTAAACCTTGAAGTCACTTATTTAGAAATTCGTATAGGTATGTGTTTGTTATGCCGTTGTCATCATTTCACATATTTTTGTTTAACAAGATAAGATCCCCCTCCCATGGCTTTGTTCAGATTTTCACCCAAGTGCCTCCCAGGTATCATGCTATCTTTATTAAACAATCGGTGAACATACACACAAGAATAAAATGATACTTGGGTGGTACTTGAGTGGGAATCTGAACATAGCCTTAGGAAAGGATTCCAGATGTTTTTTGTTCAACAAGATAAGATCTGGGAGAAGATCTCCTAGATCTTACCTTGTTAAATAAAAAACATGTGAAACGATGTTCAGATTCCCATCCAAGTATCATCCAGTATCCCGATTCTGTAATTCTTAACAGCTGTCAGTATCATTTTACTGTCGTTGTAGGTATTATAAACAGTAAAAAATTACATAGCAGCAACATATCAATACTAAACTGTTGTTAGAAGTTACAGAATCAGGGTATACATATTATTTTATTCTTGTTGTTCACTGAATGTTAAACAAGCATAAAATAATAACTGGGAGGTACTTGGGTGGGAATCTGAACATAATCCTGTGTGTGGAAGGAAATTTTATCTTGTTGAACAAAAATGTGGAGTGACGAATATCGTAACACAGATATGGATTTCTAAATAACAATTTAAATGATTTTAAGATTTAACGATTTATATAAAATTTTAAACAGAGCCACATACACAATTTCCTTTATTGAATCGAACTACAGTTTCAAAGATGTTTCTTTTAGTGACTTGGAATTATTCAAGATGGTGTAAACGACTAACGATTATGATTATAAAATATCATTATATTATTAATTATTACGTAATGTTAAATGTAAAAAATCGCTTTATTTTATTAATAAAAATATATAATTTATCATGTTTACAACTAATTATGCCTTCGTTACTACCAACATTTTTTTAGTCTATCGATCAATTTTTGTCAACTGGAGCAAACAAAAAATGTAATAAATAGCCCTTTTTCATTTTTTAGACATTAACAATTTATCTAATTGTTTAAATAAGACGAATAAGGTTTCAAATCAAACGATGCAGAAAAACAAGACACATACGTTCAAAAAAAAGAAAAGTCCATTTAACTCTAAACCGATATTTATAGAATATAGAATATATACATATATTTTAAAAATTAATATTAAAAGTACGGTACATCGAAGGAGATTAATTCTCGCGTTTGATGAAACATAAAACACGTCTATAACATATATATATAGATGTAATAAAAAAAATTAATCATATCAATAATATATTTAGAAAAAATTTCATTGACTTTTACCGCACCGTTTTGAAGATATTTATTTCTAAATTTATAGAATTTTACATTACAAGTTAAAGGTATAACCCTTTTCTTGCAAATATTTTCTTTTAAATTGAGATATTTGCATATAAAATAGAAATTTAAAAATCGTTATAATTATAAAGTAAACACTTACGTTTATTTTTGTAAAGTTTGTATCTAAATTTACCGTACAGTTTGAAAAAAAAATTTATATTTTTCAATGAAAAAAACGAGAATGTGAATAATAATTTTAAATTCTAAAATATTGAGATATAAGAATTTCTTCGCTAGAAAAAAAAAGAGACGTCTAGGAAAAGAGCTCTAAAGCGTTCTCCATTGTATTCGATGTGTTTGTATACAAAGAACGGACTTTTAAGTCCTACGTTTTCCTATATAGACGATGTAAATAATTTCATCATCATTTTCTATATACGAATGGTGTTGAAAGAATTCAACGTTTTCTTCTTTCTATCATTAAAAAATCATTTGTATCGTAAATATCGTAATCGTTACCTAAATGGCTTCACCACGAAGATTCGTGTCCACGCTAAAGCATCTATCACCTCGGCCACTAGAAAGTGCTACGTCAAACATTAGGTAAGAATAGTCAGAATTTTTGTTATTTAAACTAAAGTCCACAAACGAGTAATAATTTATTAGAGTACGTCCAAGTCCAAAAACTCCAGATAACATTCACGAAAAAAAGATGGAAGATGAAAAGTTGTCACCGTTCAATATCGATACTCCTAATAGAGTCGAACTACTCAGGAACGGTCTGTCGAGGAAACATCGTTCTGTGCTCGGAGCGGGTGCTTTCGGTACCGTCTACAAGGTACTTTACAAAGGTGCTTTACTGTAATTTTTCTTAATAAATTGTATATTGTCAAATTTGTTAGAGAAGTAATTGCATGTGCATGAGAAATGAAAAGGAATCTATAAATACGATTTAATTACTATTGTCACGTTTCTCAGGAAACCAAATGGCAGCCAAGATAATTCCACGCAAACAAAATGACGATGAAGTAATAAACTCGGAGAGACATGCGACTATCCTGCGACATACCAACATTGTGAAAATATTGAGAATAGAACAAGGCAGTAGCTTATCATTGATAACAATGGAACTATGCGGCACGTCATTGAAGGACAGGCTGCAGGAATCGGCACTGTCGAAAGAGAAGCGTGTCTCAATCTGGAAAGATATCGCTAGCGCGCTTCAATTTTGCCATGATTCTGGCGTGATACATGCAGACGTTAAAGCAACCAATATTTTAATGGCAGCTAACGGTCAAGCTAAGCTCACTGACTTCGGTAGTTCTATACTAGTGAATGAACCGCACGTTTCAATCAGGCCACGAGTATGCACGCATATATGCAACTCATTGAATCTTTTCACTCAAAAATACATTAATGAATTTTCTAATAGAATTACAGACACATACAATATTATTTTTGTAAAATTTTTCGTATATCCATACACATATACTCATTAGACATGTGTTCATATGTAATGGCGAGATTTTTATTTTTGGTGAAATTCCATCACTCCATACTGCACTGAATTAGTATACATTAGATTAGTGCACATTAGAGGCTTCTTTATACAAGTATCTAAATGTAGTGACATAATACAATCAACTTTAACAATGAAATAATATAACATGTATAAGTACTCTGTTAAGTAACGAGACAAATATTATATCAATACTAGAAATTAAAAATGCCTATTACGGTTGAAGCTGGATCTTCGTTGCTTAAATAATTCAATCTTGAATTACTAATATATACTATATATGTACTTGCATATATACCATATTATAGTCTTTTTCAAACTGCGCGCCGAATTATTTTTCCGGGCTAAATAAACGCAATTAAAACTACTCTAGTAATCGCGAATTAAATTGACAAGCAATTTAATAATTTGATGCTACCATCAAGCATCATATATTATAAAGAGATGTTAATATGTTAAAACTGTTAATAAATATTATATCAATTAGATGTTTCATGTTTATATACTTCTACATTTACTTTAATTTTACTAATTTATATAACAGCTTTAAATATGCACTAATCTAATATAATGCAAGTGAAAAAATTTCGCTATTTAGTTTCCTCTCCTAAAAACTCATTTTTTTATCAGGGTACGCCGGGCTATGCAGCACCAGAAGTGCTTCGAGGAGATGTACCTACGTTCGCTACCGATATTTATTCCCTAGGAATCGTGGCCTGGCAAATGCTCTCTCGAGAAGTACCTTTCCATGGATTACATATGCATACCGTCATATACATTTCTGTAAAAGGAACACGTCCTGAATACGAAGCTCTTGATGACGAGTTTGATGGAAGATACAAAGAATTATTCAGAGCGGCATGGTCCCAGAACATCGCAAATAGACCCTTGCTCCATGAAATAATCAGTAGACTTGATCTTTTGTAATCCATAGTTAACATTTATTTGATCAATTAAGCTTAAGCTTATAACGAATCTTACTTGCGATAAGTAATGAGGTTAATGCTTCATCACAATCTTATCAAGATAGGAATAAATCTGATGCGCTCAGGATGATGGTTTAAAAGTATTATGTATCCGGCATCTCACCACCAGGCACTAACTGCAGCAAAATAAACAAATTAAAAAAATTTGAGTTTTATTTTCCATTTTAATCATGTCAAAAATTATGATCTATTATTCTATTAGAAGTTGTATTGTCTCTCATAATTATTAAGGTGCCTCCAGACGATATGGCCAACATATGTCAACATTAGCAAATATCATACACATACATGACATATATAATTATCCATATTGAATAACCAATATTTAACGAATGTGTACAAAGTTGACGTATACATTGGCCATGCATCTGGAGGCACCTTCAAGCTGATTCTACAATGAGATGGCAGTCGGAAATATTAAGTCTTAACTTAAATAGTGACTGTGGTAGGTGACTAAGATTTTTCGCATCTACAAGTTGTTAATTGCTTAGTCTAGTTTAATTAATGGGAAGGAATAAAGTCGAATTTGGTCAGTCTTAAGAAAATCGGTAGTCTTAGGATGCGTCCAATTTAACGCTCGCAATACTCGCAGGCATCATTTGTCCTTAATTAACATTTGATAAACACCAAGGATGAGATGCTTTCACAAGTTGTGTCATACAAGTTGGCCGTCCTGATAAAAATAAAAATCCGAGTGTAAATCCAATGTAATGAGGGAGTAACAGAAGCGTAAAAGAAACTTCTAGAAGGCGCAAATTGAACAATGAAATTGTAAAAGAAACATTTACGATTTTTTTACATTTTGACCTCTTTTAATTTTTGCCTCTTAGAAGTTTCATTTATGCTTCTGTTACTCATCCATGACGATCCATTCGATTCATGCCTTGATTTTCACTTCATCGATTTAGGTCTACCGACTTATTGTAGAATCAGCATTGGGTATCATAGATATTATCGATAATGACCATAGTAATATTGCTGCCGTTGAGAAGAATCTGATCCAACTTCGTAACTCTGCGACCTTCCGGGGTTGCCTCACTTTCTGTTACATCTTCCAGTAACATGTTGACAAAATCATCAAAACCTTGCAAAGTTCCTACAATCTCCTTGTCATTTTTCATAATAATGTGTATTCGAGAACCGATACACTTATCAACTAGTTCTAAAAGTAACAATATAATTATTCGCATTGGATTACAAATATCAAGCAAAACATTACTGACATAATTTAGAATATGAACAAATTCATTTACCCAAAGGTAATAATGTAGACGGATTGGTGCTAACTGAAGCAGTCATGATTTATACAATGAAATAATCGTCAATCAATAAATCAAATATACCAATAGGCAATAGGCATACCACAGTATAAGCACCGACGAGATACTATTAAAGACCAACAACCCTGGGCAAATTTTCGTCCTTACAAAAAAGGCTCGGAGAAAAGGTAATTGAAGAGCACTGACATTATCAACAAATAATATAAGTTTGCTTTAAGATTATTAATATAAATATTTAATATGGCTAATAGCTAATACATTATTAAATTCATGATCTTTTTTATTATATAATAAATGCTTCATAAATAAGTATACATACTTAGGCCGTGTTCGTAATTTACTGCCAGTTGTCAGTACAGTATTGTATACGTAAGGGCCATTCCAAAAAATCATCCAATCGTAGTTTACGTTTGTCTTTATGACAGAAATGTGATTGGATAATTTTCTTTATGCATACGGTTATGCAAGTGGCTCTGCAAGTTTGTGTGGAATGGCCTTTAATCACGACTAAGCTTGATCGGCGTTGGTGAAACCGCTTAAGGGGATGCTGGAGTGACGGTCGAAGTTAATCAAGGTCGATAGTACAGACTTTTTTAAATTCCAAATTCGACAATAGTGACATCTTTCATTCATTTCTTATACTTATTATATATCGTTGTGTCTCGCTCAAACGCATTCATCTGTCCTTATCTAACATATTGCAACGCCGTCTCTTAGAAAGAGATCAACTAAAATACTGCTCGGTTTCATGGTTAAACAGTCATACATCGTCGATTTCTCACGCGCTAGACACACAATTTCGTTCCTTGCGCTAATCTTTTTATTTAGGCGTCAAAATTTAATTCTAAAGATATGTACGACTGTAACCGTCTATTTATTCTACATGTGCTCCTGCCCTAATTTCGAGCATATAACGTGCATATAATTTTTTCACGAAGTAAATGTTTGGTGAGCTGATAGCACATGGATACAGGAATCTGTAATTTATTATTTTTCCCAGTTTTGGACACAAAATACACCAGGAGCAGGTACATTAGCACGGATATTTCAATCGTGGAGAAGGAATTTTTATTCTGTGCAACTCTAATTCGAAGAACCGTGCAAGGAACATAAACGCTTGCTTTATCGGTAAAAAAGAAGACTCCAGCATCCCCTTAAG